GATAGATAGATAGATAGATAGATAGATAGATAGATAGATAGATAGATAGATAGATAGATAGATAGATAGATAGATAGATTCCCCTCAGTGAACAACAATAATGACGTTGTGCGTGATCTCTATGCGTCATGACGCAGTTACGTCTATGTCCCAGAATGCAGTCTGGTAAACAGACATGGAAGCGCCAGGTGAAGACCTCCTTACAGGCTGAACCCTGCATTTGTTTCTCTCTAGCCGTCCTGTGTCTCATTCACCTTGTGCATCTAGTTGTTACCTATCAGCCCGCTGTCACAGTTAGACCTACAGCACCCAGAGCCACGGTAAGAGTCGAGTTGTTGTTGCTCCTCGTCGGCAATAAATGACTGACTTGGGCTGTGTTTGTCGGGCTTCAGCCAGCTTCCTCCCTCATGCTAGTAGGCTAATCTGTTAGCCTTTACTGCTGTGTAGTGAACGTACCAGTCACAGAGTGGAGCTTATTCTATGACTCAGCTTCTTTAAGACATAATGTTTTGTTTTAAAACAATAAACCTATAATTAATGTCGTCCACGGTGTATTTCTGATTGTAAAATATAACTCAGGCTAAAACAATATGCTTAGAGAGGTAGAAGTTTGGAGCAGCATTAGCTAATTGCGTAGGTAGTTATCCGCTTGCTGTCAAGGTTTCTTGTTGCACTCGAGTTTTTTGATAAAACATTTCGTTATTTTGGCAAATGTGGTCTTTGACAGAGCGAAGGCAAATAACAGTTTAGGCCTTAATAGGGTTCATGTTGAGTTTTTAATGGAATCTGCAATTGTTCAGATGATGTTTTACTCTTGTGCTGCTGTAGTTTCAGGCTAGTCAGAAAAATTAATAACAAATCGTGTTGTAGCTGTAGGCTTATATGCACTGGGGCATGTAAAATGTGAAAACTTTGTTTGATAAAATAAATGTGTGAATCCTAAATAAAATTAAAAATAAACTTCAAAATGTTTCAGTTCTTGACAAAAAAAGGAGCAGGTGTTGATTTGTCAAAATTATCCAACTAGTTAGTAATATGTTATCTCTAGCACTACTTAAATTAGTTCTTTAGCTAGTTGATACAATATTAATTTGATATATTTTCATTTAATTCATACTAAAAAAGGAGACAAAACTTAAGTTATAGCTTTTTTTTTAGCATGAAACAATTTAAGTTCATATTTATGCTCCTTAAGTTGACTTATTAAATTGAGCTCTTTAGTTTTGTTGCTGTACAATATCAACATTGTAATACAATGAGTGAGTGCTGACACATTCACTTAATATGTTGGAGAACAGCAGCAACGGTTAGTATTTTGTGGAATTTATATATTAGTTTTTTTCTGCAAAACTACATAACTTAGCTATTCTGTAGTAAATAAGCCCTTAATGAAATAAGTAAACAAGTTTTTTTTAAGTTACACATCTACATGTTTAAAGCAGTGTGTGTGAGGCTGTAAAAACTACAGTGTACCACATTTGCTTTAATGTACCTGCCCAATCAAAAACCATGTTTATAATTGCCCAAACACAATGTTTAGTCAGCCTAAGCAATAGTTAATTTCCAGCCTTGATTATGCATTTTACTTGTTTGTGTGTTGTGTTTGTGTTGGTTTGTGTGTGTCTGCAGACATCCTCTCCGGTGTGTGTGCCAGCCAGGAACCACCCAAACTGATGAGGATCGGCTGATTGGGTTAAAAATAAGTTCTTGTTTCTTATTTTGCTGAGGTAAGRTCTGAAAGCTTTTCATTAAAACGTGCATCCAGATTTAATTGTTACTTAACTTAGACATTCAGCACAGCAGTAGTGTAGTAAGAGACACTCAACCTCAACAGTCATGTTGTTTTCCAGCTTCACCAATTATATACTTTTATTTTTTTAAAAGCTGTATTGTCAGGTAACATGTAATTACCAAATGGCACAGTTTTTAAATAATTTAACTAGAGTTAATTAAATTTTAAACCCATCAAAAACTTATCCCAGAAAAAAAGTATTTGTAAAAAAAAAAAAATTGGGATGAAGCAAGTTTATCTTTTGCTCCTTTAAACTTCTTAATTTGAAGGAAAAAAACATTTGCTGCAGTTTGACAAGCAAAATGCTGCTCTATTCTTGTTTGACACTGAATTAGAGCTGCTCAGTTATTCATGACAACTTATATATCTTAAATATTTAGTAACATAAAGTAGCAGAGATTTTTTTTCAGTATCATGTTTGCACTGCAGACATACTGTTTGAGCACCCAGGTTCTCTCACTTCAGAGCTCTTCAATAAAACTCACAGAATGTTGTTTAATTTTGTCTTTCTGAAAGAAACAAAGCCTTTCTATTGTTAAAAAACAACTTCATCCTACATTGCTTCAAACTTTATGTGTATTATTCTTCACTTATTTTACATATGTTTATTTTTTCCTACAAATATGTGAAAATACAGTCCTTTCCAAAAGTATTGGAACATGAAGTCAAATTCCCTTGTTTTTGTCGTACACTAAAGAAATTTGGGTTTAGGATCAAAAGATGAGCATGAGGCAAGAGTTCAGAATGTCAGCTTTTTTTCCTGGTATTTACATGTAGATGTGTTAAACAACTCAGAACATACCTCCCTTTGTCTGAACTCACTCATTTTTCAAGTGAGCAAAACTATTGGAACATATGACTGACAGGTGTTTCTTATTAACTCATTGCCTTTAAAGTGTAAATTACCCCAAAATCAACTTTTTTTAACAAATAAACTGTCCAAATTGTGTCTTAAGGGTAATACCTTGCTATTTTTGACCTAAATTTAACATTTTCGTCTAAAATAGTTTAAATCGTCAATATTTGGTCAAAAACGGCTTGGTGCTGCCATCTAGGGGTTTAAAAAATACTTCCACGTTTGAAGTACCTTGTGACGTGCTGTACTGCGTGACGTGTCATAGTACTGTGCTCAGTATAAAAGGACCTCCGTAGAGACACGCCCTGCAGAGATTCAGGAGTTAGCCATTGTTGATGGTAGCTGTGGTAG